AACAGCGGGACCGTTTGCCCACTAGGAAATACTCTGGGAGGGTAAAACACCAAATATTACAGAAGCAGACTTTAGAGAACTTGGTCGTTAAGATGCTGGACTTGCAATAAAAACAAGAAGGAGAAGTTAGTTAAAGCAGGTCATGCTGATTTAAAATATGTCAGAATCACTAATATTTACCTGCAGTTCATAAATAGTGTAATTCAAATGATTCCCCTCCTGCTGTGGGGTGACAAGAGTCTGCATCCTGAATTCTGTTTTGCCTACATTTAACCTTTCTGCATGTTTCTTTTTGACCTTTATCTAATGATCAGAGCTCCTCTCCACCCATCTTTTTCTTCCGTTCATGGTTTTGGAGAGCACGTCGCTTGAATAACAAGATTTTCTATCTCAGAAGGGATTCGTCTCCTCTTAGCTGAGGTGATGCTTTGTGGGCTGCAGGACTATTCTATTAGACACACACATGGTAATTACAGTGGTGGGAGGCAGTAGACACCGGGGGTCCAGGGACAGCACTAAACAATAAATCACAACTCCAGCTTCTGCCCTCCTGAGCGTAGCCGATCACGCTCAACCAAAAAGCAATTCTGCCAACATGTGTTTGCACATTTGTCTTCATCAGCCACTGGCCTGTTTTGGACCCCTGTGACTGAATTTTGCTTTCTCGTGGTAATCAAACAAGGACTATTATTTCACTTGTTTGAGCCAAAGTTCTAGATTTTAGGTTGAATAATTAAAGTCATGTGTCGATGTTAACTCTGAACATGTTCAAGGGTGAAAGAGAGAAAAATAAGGAATGGGAGGCAGAAGTAAAGATGTCAGAACAGAGGTGGTGGTGACTCAGGGAACATTTCTGTTCTGTTTTATCCATCCAGACAGCTGCCCGTCAGCCAGCTGAGCCCAGGTAGAGGAAGATGGTGTCCGCTGAGGAGCTGGTGTCAGCAAGGTGAGAGCAGAGTCCACCGACGCTGAGCCAAGCTGAAATGGATGCTGAGGAGAGAGGGTCTCCTGCCTCCGAGGGACGCCGAGTTTCAGCAGGGATAACAGAGACCGCTGGAAACTCAGCCAGTCAGAACACAAAACCCAACAGAAGCCGTGACACATGACGGACACAGAGAGGAAAGGCATCCGATCCCCCTCCCTCGTCTGATCTCACCCAGCATCTGAGCTTCAGAGAGACAAGAACCTCTAAAATTATGGACGACAAAGGAGAGATGATGCCCTCAGTTGAGCTGTGACACGTCGTTCCGTGCTGTTTCTGAGGGACGCCTCAGTGAGACAAAATTACAAATAACAGCAAGCTTCCAGAAATATGCAGGGTTGGAGGACAGCTAAAACAATGGCAGTGAATGAAAAGTGACTTGAAAGTTAGATAAATAGCTTCAGGGGAGGAAGGAAGTTTTCTGCTGGTTTAAAAGGACATAAAAGGCTTCAAGTCTGTTTAATAAGGTTTGGCGAGAGTCAGATGTGAACATCCACTTGAAAAATAACAAATAAGTGAGACATCTGGTTAATCAAGTCAAAACCAAACACGTAAATCTGTCTTGTGTCGGTGTCAGCTCTTCCTAAGCAGGTAAAAGTCACAGAGGTTTGCAATAAACCCTTTTTTTGTTGTTGTGTCCTTAATCCATGAAAATAAATCACACTTTGAGGTGTTTTTCAGCCACCGTGGCCCAGACAGCACCTCTCCATCTGAAGCAGCTTCCTTGTTCTGTCAGTTCGTGATCCGCACCCCAGCTGCAGGCCACATCTGCAGGCAGCATGCACTTCGTCCGCAGGGGCCACCTTCTCCAAACGCCAGTGCGACTCAGCTTCCTTTGTTTTGGCGTTTGCTGAAATGTGACATGGCAGCGTGGTGGTGTGCCTCAACGGACAGCCTCAGGCGTTTAAACAAATACAGACCTAAATGAATAAGATTCTCCAGAAATAAAAGATATTGAG